ATGCAAGCTCCGGCATAGACACAAAAAAACAAGCACAAACATAGACAGTCTGATTGTTTGCCCCCTAGGCAGTCTGATTCTGGTGAGTTATAGACGCGACATGCTGAAACACAAATTAATTGCAAAGACAAACGCTCGAAAAAGCAAGCTCCGGCATAGACACAAAACAAAAACAAGCACCCACATAAACAGTCTGATTGTTGAGGATTCACGCATTGCCCCCTAGGCAGTCTGATTCTGGTGAGTTTTAGACGCGACATGCTGAAACACAAATTAATTGCAAAGACAAACGCTCGAAAATGCAAGCTCCGGCATCGACACAAAAAACAAGCACAAACATAGACAGTCTGATTGTTTAGGTATCACGCATTGCCCCCTGGGCAATCTGATTCTGGTGAGTTATAGACGCGACATGCTGAAACACAAATTGCAAAGACAAACGCTCGAAAAAGCAAGCTCCGGCATGGACACAAAAAGAACAAGGACAAACATAGACAGTCTGATTGTTGGGGATTCATGCATTGCCCCCTAGGCAGTCTGATTCTGGTGAGTTATAGACGCACATGCTGAAACACAAATTGCAAAGACAAACGCTCGAAAAAGCAAGCTCCGGCATAGACACAAAAACACAAGCACAAAACATAGACAGTCTGATTGTTGAGGATTCACGCATTGCCCCCTAGGCAGTCTGATTCTGGTGAGTTATAGACGCACATGCTGAAACACAAATTGCAAAGACAAACAATCCAAAAAGCAAGCTCCGGCATGGAAACAAAAAAAACAAGCACAAACATAGACAGTCTGATTGTTGAGATTGACGCATTGCCCCCTAGGCAGTCTGATTCTGGTGAGTTATAGACGCACATGGCTGAAACACAAATTGCAAAGACAAACGATCCAAAAAGCAAGCTCCGGCATGGAAACAAAAAGAACAAGCACAAACATAGACAGTCTGATTGTTGGGGATTCACGCATTGCCCCCTGGGCAGTCTGATTCTGGTGAGTTATAGCCGCGACATGCTAAAACACAAATTGCAAAGACAAACACTCGAAAAAGCAAGCTCCGGCATAGACACAAAAAAACAAGCACAAACATAGACAGTCTGATTGTTGAGGATTCACGCATTGCCCCCTAGGCAGTCTGATTCTGGTGAGTTACAGCCGCGACATACTGAACACAAATTGCAAAGACAAACGATCGAAAAAGCAAGCTCCGGCATAGACACAAAAAAAACAAGCACAAACATAGACAGTCTGATTGTTGAGGATTCACGCATTGCCCCCTGGGCAGTCTGATTCTGGTGAGTTATAGACGCGACATGCTGAAACACAAATTGCAAAGACAAACGCTCGAAAATGCAAGCTCCGGCATCGACACAAAAAACAAGCACAAACATAGACAGTCTGATTGTTTAGGTATCACGCATTGCCCCCTGGGCAATCTGATTCTGGTGAGTTATAGACGCGACATCTTGAAACACAAATTGCAAAGACAAACGCTCGAAAAAGCAAGCTCCGGCATAGACACAAAAAAACAAGCACAAACATAGACAGTCTGATTGTTGAGGATTCACGCATTGCCCCCTGGGCAGTCTGATTCTGGTGAGTTATAGACGCGACATGCTGAAACACAAATTGCAAAGACAAGCGCTCGAAAGAGCAAGCTCCAGCATGACACAAAGAACAAGCACAAACATAGACAGTCTGATTGTTGAGGATTCACGCATTGCCCCCTAGGGCAATCTGATTCTGGTGAGTTATAGACGCGACATGCTGAAACACAAATTGCAAAGACAAACGCTCGAAAAAGCAAGCTGCGGCATAGACACAAAAAAAACAAGCACAAACATGGAGAGTCTGATTGTTGGGGATTCACGCATTGCCCCCTAGGAAGTCTGATTCTGGTGAGCTATAGACGCGACATGCTGAAACACAAATTGCAAAGACAAACGCTCGAAAAAGCAAGCTCTGGCATAGACACAAAAAAACAAGCACAAACATAGACAGTCTGATTGTTGAGGATTCACGCATTGCCCCCTAGGCAGTCTGATTCTGGCGAGTTATAGCCGCGACATGCTGAAACACAAATTGCAAAGACAAACGATCGAAAAAGCAAGCTCCGGCATGACACAAAAAAAACAAGCACAAACATAGACAGTCTGATTGTTGGGGATTCACGCATTGCCCCCTGGGCAGTCTGATTCTGGTGAGTTATAGCCGCGACATGCTAAAACACAAATTGCAAAGACAAACACTCGAAAAAGCAAGCTCCGGCATAGACACAAAAAAACAAGCACAAACATAGACAGTCTGATTGTTGAGGATTGACGCATTGCCCCCTGGGCAGTCTGATTCTGGTGAGTTATAGACGCGACATGCTGAAACACAAATTGCAAAGACAAACGCTCGAAAAAGCAAGCTCCGGCATAGACACAAAAAAAAAACAAGCACACACACATAAACAGTGTGATTGTTGAGGATTCACGCATTGCCCACTGGGCAGTCTGATTCTGGTGAGTTACAGACGCGACATGCTGAAACACAAATTGCAAAGACAAGCGCTCGAAAAAGCAAGCTCCAGCATGGACACTCACAAAATAAAAAACAAGACCAAACATAGACAGTCTGATTGTTGAGGATTCACGCATTGCCCCCTGGGCAGTCTGATTCTGGTGAGTTATAGACGCGACATGCTGAAACACAAATTGCAAAGACAAACGCTCGAAAAAGCAAGCTCCGGCATAGACACAAAAAAAAGCACACACATTGACAGTCTGATTGTTGAGGATTCACGCATTGCCCCCTGGGCAGTCTGATTCTGGTGAGTTATAGACGCGACATGCTGAAACACAAATTGCAAAGACAAACGCTCGAAAAAGCAAGCTCCGGCATAGACACAAAAAAAAGCACACACATTGACAGTCTGATTGTTGAGGATTCACGCATTGCCCCCTGGGCAGTCTGATTCTGGTGAGTTATAGACGCGACATGCTGAAACACAAATTGCAAAGACAAACACTCGAAAAAGCAAGCTCCGGCATGGCACAAAAAGAACAAGCACAAAGATGTGTCTGATTGTTCAGGATTCACGCCCCCCTGGGCAGTCTGATTCTGGTCTGAGGTGAACGCGACATGCTGAAACACAAATTGCAAAGACAAACGCTCGAAAAAGCAAGCTCCGGCATGGACACAAAAAAAACAAGCACAAACATAGACAGTCTGATTGTTGAGGATTCACGCATTGCCCCCTGGGCAGTCTGATTCTGGTGAGTTATAGACGCGACATGCTGAAACACAAATTGCAAAGACAAACGCTCGAAAAAGCAAGCTCCGGCATGGACACAAAAAGAACAGGCACAAACATGGAGAGTCTGATTGTTAAGGATTCACGCATTGCCCCCTGGGCAATCTGATTCTGGTGAGTTATAGACGCGACATGCTGAAACACAAATTGCAAAGACAAACGCTCGAAAAAGCAAGCTCCGGCACGGACACAAAAAAAAAACAAGCACACACATAGACAGTCTGATTGTTGAGGATTGACGCATTGCCCCTGGGCAATCTGGACATGCTGAAACACAAATTGCAAAGACAAACGCTCGAAAAAGCAAGCTCCGGCACGGACACAAAAAAAAAAGCACACACATAGACAGTCTGATTGTTGAGGATTGACGCATTGCCCCCTGGGCAGTCTGATTCTGGTGAGTTATAGACGCGACATGCTGAAACACAAATTGCAAAGACAAACGCTGGAAAAAGCAAGCTCCGGCATGGACACAAAAGAACAGGCACAAACATAGAGAGTCTGATTGTTAAGGAATCACGCATTGCCCCCTGGGCAATCTGATTCTGGTGAGTTATAGACGCGACATGCTGAAACACAAATTGCAAAGACAAACGCTCGAAAAAGCAAGCTCCGGCACGGACACAAAAAAAAAAGCACACACATAGACAGTCTGATTGTTGAGGATTGACGCATTGCCCCCTGGGCAGTCTGATTCTGGTGAGTTATAGACGCGACATGCTGAAACACAAATTGCAAAGACAAACGCTCGAAAAAGCAAGCTCCGGCACGGACGCAAAAAAAACAGGCACAAACATAGACAGTCTGATTGTTGAGGATTCACGCATTGCCCCCTGGGCAATCTGATTGTGGTGAGATATAGACGCGACATGCTGAAACACAAATTGCAAAGACAAACGCTCGAAAAAGCAAGCTCCGGCACGGACACACAAAAACAAGCACACACATAAACAGTCTGATTGTTGAGGATTGACGCATTGCCCCCTGGGCAGTCTGATTCTGGTGAGTTATAGACGCGACATGCTGAAACACAAATTGCAAAGACAAACGCTCGAAAAAGCAAGCTCCGGCACGGACACATCCGGCACGGACACAAAAAAAACAAGCACACACATAGACAGCCTGATTGTTGAGGATTGACGCATTGCCCCCTGGGCAGTCTGATTTTGGTGAGTTATAGACGCGACATGCTGAAACACAAATTGCAAAGACAAACGCTCGAAAAAGCAAGCTCCGGCACGGACACATCCGGCACGGACACAAAAAAAACAAGCACACACATAGACAGTCTGATTGTTGAGGATTGACGCATTGCCCCCTGGGCAGTCTGATTTTGGTGAGTTATAGACGCGACATGCTGAAACACAAATTGCAAAGACAAACGCTCGAAAAAGCAAGCTCCGGCACGGACACATCCGGCACGGACACAAAAAAAACAAGCACACACATAGACAGTCTGATTGTTGAGGATTGACGCATTGCCCCTGGGCAGTCTGATTTTGGTGAGTTATAGACGCGACATGCTGAAACACAAATTGCAAAGACAAACGCTCGAAAAAGCAAGCTCCGGCACGGACACAAAAAAACAAGCACACACATAGACAGTCTGATTGTTGCGGATTGACGCATTGCCCCCTGGGCAATCTGATTCTGGTCTTGAGTTGGCTAAGTCCCATCGCGCCCTCCCGGCCGGCTCCTTCGTCTCAGGGATCTTGGCACCGGCGAAGTCGGAGGCTGACGCGTACTGGCCTTTGCCTGTAAGAAACACAGAACAACCGTCGTAGATGTTTGCACACATTAGTTTATCTATGTATATATATATATATAGCTCATATACACATATATATATGTATATATATATAATGTACACAAGTATACGTATTAGCTAGCCCGCTCTTGTGAGTTGGCATTGACCCTCCGGAGTTGAGAAAATCTGGAGCTGGAAGGTATGCTGGATAGGAGGAGGCGGCCATTGCCATTCCCTTCCAGAAAGGACTATCGCCAATTCCTTGCGACTTTGCGATGGAACTGGAACTGCCATATGTGCTGACTGCAGGCTTTTCCTCAGTCCAATGTGATGCGTTATGACTAGTTATGACTTAAAGCTTGCTCACACAGTGCAGCATCTCCATGTCTGGCAAATCTAATTCCAAGCACATCGCGCGCCTGGGATTCATCCAATATCCTGGAACTTTTGAATTATCCTATAATATCCTTTTTTCTTATACGACACACCTCGGCTAGTATCGCCTGCCTCAAGCTTTTGAGGCGTCGATTTAAGGCCGGTTTGAAGTTGGTCTGGGTTGGTTCGGGGAGGACGCGATGGAGCGGGGGGGTGGGGGCCATGCAAAACTTCACAGGACCAGAAATGAATAGAAATAGGAGGGTCACTGTACCCACGCAAACGCTCGTGCCCTGGCCACATACTGTTTCACGTCTGAGCGATTTGTCGTGATTCGCCTTGGCCGGAGAGAAGGGATCCCAAAGCAACGCCCATCAAAAAGATCTAGGCGCACAGAGTGACCCGCAGACTTCGACCAAGGCTACATGAGTTCAAATGTTGCCATTTAACATTGTGCCCAATGCGCAAACCAGAGTCGCTTGAGCAGGCTAGTCTCATCCAGGAAAGGGGTGTCTGGCACTCGAATCTAACGTTTGTTTCTTTTAATTAAACGCGAAAACTCCAGAAGACGTCCGTGAAGCCCTTATGCAATTGCAAGGGCTGCTCGAATGGTTGACACTGGACCTGAATGGAACATGCTGAACCCTGTGACACCCCTCATTTCAACCAAGGCCGATTCATCAATCAATCTGCCGGGCTTTTACTGGCAAAGGTTTGCTAGGGACGTGTCAATGTGATCTATCCCACAGATACCAACGACGCGCCTTCCAGGCATTCCACCTGCGTTCCCCGGCAGCAGTCAAAGGGTGAGACCTGAGCTCGTTTAGCACTTTGATAAGGGGCGGGCAACCGGGCTTTGTACTTGAATACCGCTTAGGTTGACGTTGGAAGGGGAGCAACAACTTTAACTTTAGCAGTTCAGTGGGGATTTCCCACTAAACCACAATAAGCAAAAATGTAAAATGTTTCCCAACAACAACCATGGTATGCATACTTGGAAAAAGGGTCAAAGCCAAAACGATGTGGAAATCTGTTTCAGCCTGGAAGCGACCTTGCCAGTGGGGTGGGGGTATGCACGTGAAGAAGATCCACGCCTTTCTCAAGCACGCGCCAGGTTGTCAACCTGTTGGCTGGAAATGCCAGCTGCATGGCCCCCCTCCCGTCTTATTTGCTAGAACACACCTTGGCGTTTGCCCACACAAAGGGCCATGCCGATTCACATTAGTGCCGGCCTTCGAGTAACTTGTAGCAACCATGGCTACCGTTAGCGCGGAACTGGCGCGCGGCTTGCGCGAAACCTTGCTTCCTTTCCAAGGACAGGTGTTCTCTGGGCATCCAAGGCCAATGTGTCTTCCTTCAGCAAGAGATCATACCTTTTATTGCCATCGTGCCCGAAGTGACAAACGGGCCAGGTCGCCGGGATCCCTTTAGAGTTTCCTGTCGAAGGCGATCCAACAAGCGAGAATCTGGCAGGACATCTGGGAGCCTGCACAGCGCAAGTTGCCCAAGGGCCCCGGGGGCTAAACAATGTACCTGCACTGGATTTTTCCGCTTGAGCCGGGAATCAAGTAAGAGATGCGGAGAACAAACCACTCAAAACATTGATGCGACCACTCCGTCTGAGGATCGAGCTCGAATGGGCGACTGGCCATTTGTCATCGTGGAGCACTTCGGGTAACAAAGCCTGGTGCACCAAATCAGGATGAGAACAACCATGTGGAGGCCCTATTTGTCTGCTCTTTTGCAGGGTCGGGCCGTTTTCAGCAGTCCTGCTCTTTTTACTGGGCACATTAAGATTGTGGCAAATTGGCAAATGCAGGTTCTCTGGTCGTGAAAACCCTGGAACTAGAACAGGCAAAGTGAGATTTCTGGCTGGGAAATCTCTGGTGCTCGTGAACCCAGTCAAACGGCAAATGTGCAAAACTAAGCCACGAAAGAGATCCTTCCGCATTGCTCAGCGTTTTCTGGAGTTTGAACCAAGCCGACCTTGCAGTTAACAAGTATTTGTTGAAAACAAAGTACGGACAAGCAGTGACCAACAAAAAATAAGCGTGGCTTTGCAAGCATCGCAATTTGGGTACACAATAATATGAGGCTACAAACTCTCCGGATTTTTTAAACAGCCACCCCCATCTTTTCGGACAGTCTCCGATTCCCGCCAAGGAGCCCCTGATATGACTCCTCCTGGGGCAATAACAAGCTGGAGGAAAGGCCATGCCGTAGACTTGTCGCTGTCAGGTCGTGATCTGCAATGTTGCACCGTTAAGAGTTGCACAACGCCCTTGAAAATAGACTGAAGGCTCCAACACATGTAAAATCCCGTGTCTGCAGGTCCCGCCCTGCTGATTGGCTTTGATTCGGTCAAACTATGCGGGGTTGTGGAGAGCTAACAATACCCAGAGCCAAGGCTAGTTTGCATTCCCCTTTGAACTACCAGGCCTGGCCCCATGCCCCCTAGGCCTCGCGGCACGCTACTGTACCCTTTCGGCAATTCCTCTTGACATGTTGGAATAGTTGCAATCGACAACATATAGAAACATGTCATGATGGTGCATGTAAAATATCCAACTTGACTTGAACAAACATGATTCTGCACTTTGCCATTGTGCCTGGTTGGTGCACTTGCTTCTCCAGTGGTTTGTTTGCATGATTGACAGAGGGTGGTTGGAATTCTTAAGCCCTGCCACCAAGCCAACAAGTGTGCACAGGGTTACTTCTGAATCCCTCTCTTTAAGCACCGCCCGACCAAAAAGAACACCAACAAATATGTGGCAACCACAACCAAGAACGGTGCGCTGATGCATATTTTGCCTGCCAACAAAAACACAAATTGAGCTGCAATCTTGGAATTCGACATGTTAAGACACTCTCGGAGCCTCATTCCTTTCCTCTTGTCACTCCTCCTCAGTGCAGATTCCGCCTACCCCCGGCGCGTGCGGGGCATTGTGTATGGCAGCACCACCGCCCACCTCAGATGAACAGAGTTGCACGAAAGTATGCACATATCACATGGGATCACCCTGTTTGATGCACGTCACATTCCCATTTGAGTGCGCGCCGAAGCCGTTTTGACAAGTGATATCGGCTTACTCTGTGGTTGTTCTTGAAACTTATTGCTCCGTTGCATTCTCCTGCTGATCCTAAATGGACAACGCTCTGCTCGCATCTGCCGGAAAATCGCCTACGGAGCCATATGCACCTTCCGGGCATTCAAAAGAACACAACAAAGGCGTAACGTCTGGCGGACTCACAGGCTGCAAACAGTGGACGTGGCCTTCACGTTGGCATTTTCAGTTGGAGCTCAACGGCATAGAAAATACAGTTGCATCCAAGCAGCGTCTAATGCATCCGAGGTAGCTTCCATGTCATCAAAAAGCGCACACAGGATGCCGTTGTCGTTTTGACCTAGCAAAGTGCATCGATGCAGGAGCAACGCCAGGGACTTTGGTTTGAACGAGGCGGAAAGCTGCTCAACACGTGCACCTGAGGATGGGCAGCTGAGGAGCAAAAACTTTCGATCACCTCTTCAAGTCGTCATGTCTCACGCACGCAGCCTTGTGGTCCCACAGACACCATTCAGAGGCTCAGTCCGCCCTCGTAATGAGGCCAAACAACTTGTCACTCTGGACGAACTATTACCTGCAATCCTCAAGTATACAATCCCAGAAGAAGGTTCTCGCACGTGAAGTCACGACGCGTGCTCAACATCAGTCAGATCCGCGAAAGTGTGTCCTTCGGCGACCTTCTCTCCTTTTGCAATGTGTTGGTGGCATAGGGAAACGTTCCCTCTGTCCGCTGCAGCCCCTCCAGGGCTGACGCGCACTCCGCTTGCGCCGCTCCAACGACCCTGGTTGTGCCCTGCCATGTCTGTCATGTCTGGGACGCCAGGGGTCGTCAATTTCTTGCTGGCATGTCAGGCAGCGGAGGAACCACCCTCTTCCGATTGCAGTATCCAGGGGTGGCTCTGTTTGACCTTGCTGGAAACTCGCGCTTCTTGGAACCCAGGGATGCAACCAACCGCCGCGTTGGCGCGCACTGCTTGCACTGCGCTCCTTGGGTGAATAGCCAGCCTGCCGCTCCCCGCGGGGCAGAGCACATTTGACTAAAGTCCTTGCTGATTCACGCTCGAGATGAGATCGGCGCCAGCTGAAGCAGCTGCGTCCTGGCATCCTGGCCCACTTTGAGCCTCGTGCATCCTGCCTAAAGGTTCTGCCTCAGAGGGAGGCCTGTTCCACCAGCTTGATGAACTCCACCAGCGGCGGCTTCAGCCAAAATGGAAGGGCCATGTTGGGTCACAATGCTCACGGCACGTGCCACAGCAACCTGCAACCTAGTAGGTAATGCTGACGCAAAAACGGGTGCCAAAACAAGAGGGCGCATGTTCAAGCTGTTAAAGGATGTGGGCTGCCAATTGCAATCAGAGACCATGGTTGTCTCAAACTAGGAGGGCTGCCCAGAGATTTCTTCAAATGGATTTCTCCCCAATCTTCCTTGGGGGGGAAGCCTGGGCGAATATAAATCAAACAATATACAAGTCTAGTATAATAACGAGGATTCTTGTAGAGACATGTGAATGCAAGGTAACTCCAAGAGTTAACCCGCCACAAGACCAGGAAGAGAGATAAAGGAACAAATATAATTCCCTGTCAGCATTTCTATTGTAGAAATCTCACATAGACAGGTGAATGAAGGCATATTCCTTGCCTTCGTACGTCCAAGAGATACGAAGGGGCTTGAAGGCGGGAAATAGTTCTATCACCTACCTTATAATCCAGAATGCCTTTCATGACATCTGGATTCGTCATTCATATCCCTTCCTCACATATCCACGGTTGATGATTCATAGGCTTGGACGTCGATAGGGAAAGGAAGCCACTCAATAATCCAGAATGCTTTCATATTAGACTTATAATTATGTATCTTTACTTTTCTCCCTTTTACCAGTTATGGCAGAACCTTCAACTGGCCCTTGGTTGTTCGAAGGTTGCAAGTGGCCAAATGATGCTCTGCTGCCCAGGTGATCCCATAGAGGACCTGTCGACGTTCATTTTGGCTTCACCATTGTGATGCAGGGGCCCTTGCTCTTCAAGACAAATCTGACGAATCAACCGGCATCTCGGCATCTGTTAGCAAAGCGGCAGCACTGGGCAGGAGAGATCCGTTGTGGCGCCCTGCCGCCCGTGAGTAAGGAGCACCTCAAATTCATGGTAGGGCGGCGTCTGGTGCAAAAATCCTAGTTCATCGCCAGCAATCTGGTGAGTTCGACGGATCTTTGACTCATCCTGCTGATATTTGGGGCAAACATGAAATACAGTGTCCATAAAAATGATGATGGAGAGATCTGCACTGTGCCAGCGTGGACCGTTGTGGCAGCTTCAAGATTTCAGCCGAGGCGCTTCATGTAGCAAAGGCCTGAGAACCTTGGTGTCAAGCAAGCCACTCTTACCCACCCGGAATTCTCAGCGTCTGAATCATGTTGGACACTTCAGCAATAATTAACATGCCTGAGAAACAATATCTTCATCAAGGTAGCTTTGGAGAAAGTGAGGTGCAATCAATTCCTTTAGCAGCCACATCTGAGCCAGGGCCTTTATTGGGCAGCAGGCAGCGCAACTGTGTGAACAGGCTGGGCATGAGGGCGAAACATGAAAACAAGCAGTCACCCACTTTCATGTTTGTTGGGACGGCGAAGGCGCAAACATGCCCCCGCATAGTTGGAGTCGCAGACACTGAGCCGAGGCGCTCCTCCTCATCATGCATGCAAGTTGGAACCTGCCCCGGTTGGAAGAAGGGGCGGGTTTTTGAGGCAAGCAGTGGGCCTGTAAGGCCGGGGAGCACCTGTTTTTGGAATTTGTAGGGCCGTAGGGGCGGGGGGAAGGAACCTGCAGCGATCTGTGGGACAAACAGCCAAGGTTCGGTGGGGGTTGTAATGGGGCTGCACTCGCAGAATTCCGAAGCCTAGCAGCTAGGGCGTTCTTTCGGGCCGGTGCGTTGTGACGTGACACCTTGAGAAAGCGAACCCAATCTGTATTTTGATTGGGCCGATAATATTCTGATGCTCGTTCCTATCAACAGCGCATGGTTGCCTTCAGCACGAGAGTGGGATAAGGCTTGGGCTTTCTCAATCCTCAGCTACCAGAAATCGGTGGCACCCTTCTGGTCTTTTGCTACGCTCGTCCGTGAAAGAATGAACTATACCACTGCCAAATCGCCCAGAATCGCTAGGAAAACCACATTGATCCGATCACAAACGAACCATATTTACCCTCGTGATGCCAAGAAATTACCCGCAGGAATTTGCACAATTGGAGACTCTGCTTGGCGCCTGCTGTGCATGAACCTGTCAGCCCACCTTGAAGCAGTCTCTGGAGTCCCTCAAGCTGGATGCTCCAACTTTTCCTAGTGGCAAGGCTTTTCAACCTTCCTGACCTTCCTGACCTTCCTGACTTTTCTGCTCTGAATCCGATTCCGATTTCGCTATCACTCTTTGTAAGGCCAAAAAGGCTCGCGCCTCAGGCAGCACGGAGTTCAGGCGGAGTGGAGTTATGCCATTGAAGACGCCACTTCGCAGGCCATGCCGCGCCTCAGAAAAGAGGGCGCTTCAATCTGACTCACCAGATCTCAGTTGCCATCTTTTCATTTGCTCTCCTGATCTGTTCAGCAAATGGCGACCGGAGCTGTCATATCTAGGCTGCGCCTGTCTCCGATGCAGCGGGTCAGGGGCTGTAAAAGCTGCTTGCCTACCTGCTTCATGCATCTCAAACTGGCCATCTTGGCGCACACCTGATATGCTCGTCTAGACTACTCCGCTGCAAGCCAGACAATTGAGTAGTTTCAGTATGTCTCAAGGGCTGTGCTGGTTGTGCTTTGGACTAGGGGAAGCGACTTGTGCTTGTCGCGTGGCCGAATTCCAGAAAAGCACAAGTTCTGGGCGAAATGCCATCATCATGGTGGTCAACATTAGGCCCTCCCACCCCAAAAACCCTTACCAGCGAGTGGTTTGTGGTGTAGGCGATGCTCGCCAGATAAGTGCTGGATCAGAGCCATGGAATGAATGCCCGAAGGGCTTGTGAAGCCTCGAGAATCGGTAGCACATTAGCAAAAGAGAGGGGTGTTGTGCCCTTCGAGGCGAAGGGACCCTCAAGCAAGGAGTCTTTGGTAAGTTGCATCCCTTGCAAAGGGCAAATCCTGGACCCGCACCTTCTGCACTCATGTCACACAGCTCAGTCGATCAATGAGGTCCGGACGACCAGGGCACAGCCACAACAAAGCACTGCCACAGCAACGATAAGAGCAGTCCTGCCCGAGGCAATCACGGAAGCTAAATGACAAGCAATTAGGCCATGGTTGCTCGTTGCCTGCATTTGAATACGGCCCCTTTTGGAGGCCCACCCTGGATCTATCTGACATGAGCCCCAGGCCGAATCACGTGCTAGCCTGATTTGGTTTTGGCAACACGATCCAAGCCAATCTCAGAGAGCTTGCCATTGCTGAAGGGTCTGAAGGGTTAGTGAGCTTTCCAACAGCAAAATGCCGGCCGTCGGCTTCGCCACAGGCGCTCCTCCTGAGCCCTGTGCCCTGGCGAGCCAAGGATTATCCTACTCAGCACGCAGGGGCCCAAAAGCACCCAAGGGTCTCGAGAACACATCAACGAGTTCAAATTGGTGTGAACAAATGAAAGCCTTTCAACGAAGCACAACACAAAGTGTGCAATAGACAAAAAGCTATAATAACCAGCAGCGGAAGAACTAAGAACGTGAGGACAAACAGCAAACTCTTATTTCAAATCGCCAATCATGCGCGCAACGCTCGAGGTCGGAGACTTTACACAGCTGCTGCATACACCTGCCACAACTGAACAAAGCATGCTGCTACCTGTCAGATTAAGCGTGCCAAAGCCGCCATGGCTCTAAGTTGGCTGAAAGCGGAGCATCTGCCTGGGCTGGGAGAACTTTGATTGCCGAGAGACACCTTACTTGGCAAAGTGGCTCGAATATGGCAAGGGAAAAAGGTATCCCAGCAATTGCACATAGTCCACAGTGGCTTCGAGATAGGACCCGCAAGGACACCATATTGAATTGTGACACTGCCATTCATTGTCAAGTAGGTCCAGGGAAAAGCTGGCAAAGAATACATCAGATTGCCACTTTAGCAAAAGGGGGGGAGGGGTTCTTTTGCACTGGCCCACACGACTTGTCCAGCCAGCAATTATTTCATGTGAGCCACGGACAACTTTGCTTCCGAGTTTTCTGAACTGTAAACAGAAATTGTTCCGAGTCCGAGAGTCCCCCCCTTTTGTGAACCAAAAGCATTGTCCCACATTGCTTCTAGCCCTTCAGAGCGGACTGGGCTAGCACGCTGCAAAGCATACGCACTCTCTCCAAAGAAACTTACACCGGTCAAAGGGAGGAGGTAACCCTGCATGTTCAAAACTCATCATCTCCATGGGCATCAACTGTATCTACGCGAAACCCAAACAACAGTGCAAACTTTCGTTTCAATACTGCTGCTACTGGCTGAAAGAAAGTTAGCAACCCATTTAATGTTACATTTTGGAAACCCACCCTTCAACAGTCGCAACCCAGGCCAACCAGTCGGGCAGCCCAGCGAAGCTCTTTTAAGTCCTAATCAGCTGATGCTTGGTTCCCTGTTGCTCTGCTGTGGAACTACACAAGTTTTCAAACGTGCTCCTACATCTTGACAAACTGCACAGGCTGCTTGCGGACATCCAAGCTATGCGCGCGAAACATCGCCAGTTCTGTCAGCAAAGTACCACCAAGATGGTCTACTAAACACGGTGACTGCTGGTGATTGGAGGGACGAGCAAAACCACGCCACGGTCGCTCAAGAGAAAGGCAAACAGTCGGCTGGCCAGGATGCTGCGGCGAAAATCTTCTAGGCGGAGCTGCAGGGGAGCGGCCTGGTTGTCAGGCCGTTTGTGTGTCGTTCCTTCTTTCTGGGCGAAAAGAACAAAGCAACAGGGCAAACATGCAGATCGTAAAGCAAACACAAACATCACACATGCCTGAGCGGGACAGCAATCCCCGAAACAAAAACACACCGACACACAAAACGACAATCTTATGTGTGCGTGCGTGCGTGCATGGATGGGTTGCGTTGCATTGCATTGCGTGGATGGATGGATGGATGGATGGATGGATGGATGGATGGATGGATGGATGGATGGATGGATGGATGGATGGATGGATGGATGGATGGATGGATGGATGGATGGATGGATGGATGGATGGATGGATGGATGAATAAATGGATGGGCGGATGGGTGGATGGGTGGATGGGTGGATGGGTGGATGGGTGGATGGGTGGATGGATTGGTGGATGGGTGGATGAGTGGATGGGTGGATGGGTGGTGGGTGGGTGGATGGCTGGATGGGTGGATGGGTGGATGGGTGGGTGGATGGGTGGATGGGTGGATGGGTGGATGGGTGGATGGGTGGATGGATTGGTGGATGGGTGGATGAGTGGATGGGTGGATGGGTGGTGGGTGGGTGGATGGCTGGATGGGTGGGTGGGTGGGTGGGTAGATGGATGCATGGATGAGTCCTTCAGACTTGCCCCAAACATTCTTAGAGTTTTTGTTTATGGGAATTGAGCCTAGAGTCCTGAGCTGTAAGGGTTGGTCGAGGAATTGCCTCCGAGGAAGCTTCTTTTCGGGCTTCCCCCCCAATAGCTTTCAAGGGGACGTCAGTCCACGCAAGCTTCAACTCTGTGCTAGAAAGCGTGAAGCCTCTGTCGGCCACGAAGATCAAGTTTGGAGACCAAAAGTACGCCAACACAACACAAATTGGTTAGCTCCAGTTTATACTCTTAGCTCCAGTTTATACTGCCGAGCTGAGCGAATCTCAAATGGCAGTCCTCAAAGGGGAGCAACTCAAAATAGATCCGAATCGCGAACAATCAACAACCTCCCCCACCGTCAGTGGGAAATGGTCTCTTGGTTTCCAACCACCCCTGAAACGCTCCATATGCAAAGTGGAACGCGAAGCGCGGCAGGCGGCCTTGTAGGTGAATCGTGCTAGAACTCCCAACAGAGAAACAAGCCAGCCAAGCCAGACAGCAAAAAAGAAAGGGAGCAACAGAGCAGCAAAAGTGTAGGCAAAAGACAAAGCAAAAAACAAAGAGAACAAAAAACTACTCACGCTGCCTTGGGTTGCCCGGGGAGGCGGGCTCGAAAGCCTTCAAGATCTGTGCGCCTAAGATCTGTTCCCCCCTTCCCCCCAAACAAATATTTCCCCCTTTCCCATCCCTCCCAAAGATCTTTCCCCCCTCCCCCCCTAAAATCCCCCCCTTTCCCCCACATCTTCTCCTCCCTCCCCCCCTAAAATCGTTTCCCCCCTTTCCCCCCTCCAAGATTTATTCCCCCCTTTCGCCTTTCCCCTCCTAAGATCTTTCCCCCCCCCCCCTCCCCCCCTGAGAATCTGCCCCCTCTTTTATCTTTAAGATCTTTGACCCTTTGTGCCCGTTCTGTTAAAGGGGGGGAGGGGAGAAAAGATCTTAGGGTGGAAGAAGGAAAAGATCTTCGGGGGGGAAGGGTGGAACAGATCTTGGGGGGGCAGGGGGGAAGATCTTATGATGTACGTGAAGTTCCTAAGGTTGCCAAGGCCGCCCCAGCACCATCTCCCAACAAGGCGCTCAGATTGGACCCCAATAGACCTAAATAGGCCCAATGAGCCCCTGTTACGAGGAGGGGGGGTCTTTTGGGGGCGGGCTTTGACAGCACTGAGTATATGATGTGTATGAATATGATGTATATGCATACATCATAAACATAGTGTATGTGGTGTGTAATATATGTATCGTGTATGGAATGTGTGCACGCATTGATCACCACAGCTCTGCTTTGGTTGTCGGGACTTTCTGCGCAACTTCCGCCCATGACATCCACTGCCCCAGCACGCAGCGCCACTGACTCTTGGCTCCATGACTCACTCCTCGTCCCATGCCTGGCTTGCTCTTGCCTCGGGGATTCCTGCGCAACTTCACCCCATGATATCAATACGCTGCGCGCTCGGCTGGGCCGAGGCGGGCAACGCACAGCGTTTACATTTATGATGAAATTGTACCCCCCCCCCCCCACCCTACCCCTCCCCCTTACCCCTCCACCCCCTTTACCATTCCTAGATCAACTCCCCGGGGCTCCTATCGAGTCTTCCTAGCAAATTTTCCCCTACGACCTCCCTAAGCTAGTTTTACCATTCCCCTTTGAATGTTGTCGTATTTCCCCTTCAATCTTCCCGAATGATTGAAGCAGCAAAGTCGCCTGACGGAGTGACGAAGATCAAACAAGCCGGGGGCAAAATGGGGGAAGCTGCGTTGGGCTATTGTTTGCTGGCATTCACTTTGTCAGTCGGACAAAGCAAACTCCACATTATAAGAACTGAACTTAGGCTCCCTAAGCCCTCCCTGAGAGTCCCCAACGGCATCCGAAGATTTGAGGGGTCACCACGAAAGTGCAATTTCTAGCCTTCCTGGGCCCTCCGTAAGCCCTCCCTGACCCTTCCCAAGAGCATACAAAGATTTGAGGGTTCACCGCCCGAATTCCTCTAAATTGTTTTTTTTGGTATAGCCTTTTCCCCACACACCAAGAAGACGAAGCGAACGAAGCTGAAAACAAAATGCGCATGAGTCAGTGTTTTGGTCTAAAAGGATCGGGCCAGACCTGCAGTTGCTTGCTGCCAGTCTGTCCCTAAGAACTCCCTAAGCACTTTCTAAGAGGTATCGTCAAAGTCCAGCCTGATGCTTCAAAGAACGGGGGGTAAAGGGTGGGACCACTTCATAACATTGATGAAACAATTGAAATATCATTTCCAAAAAAAAGAAGAAACACAAAGTGCTATTCCTTGTGTTGTTTTGAACATGCGCTCTCGCGATCAACTAAATTCAATGCTTTGACCAGCCTCCTCATCCTCCAACTCGGCCATGCACCTCGCAAACAGCAGCAGACAGGGGCGTGCCTCGTTGCCCCCTCTCATATTCTAGCATGTCACCGGGTGAGTTTAGAGCAAGCTTGCTTCAGGTTTCCGGGTATCAGGCTAACTATGAAACCGAGCGATACAGCGTCCAAGCAGGCGTTGCAGCTAAGACTGCCCTATGCCAATTGTGTTGATGCATTCACAAGACCAATGTGCAGCAGTGCAAAAGGCATGACCTTTACATGACTCATGACACATACCACTTTTGCAAGAAAGCGCTCAACAGTCCAATCGCAAACTGCTCAAAGAGCTGAGCAAAGAATTTCGGGGCTTCAGGTAAGACACAAGTCACTGCTCTCTGGTAGTTTCAAGCTTGGATGTCATCTGTTCGTCAACAGAAGAGGTGACCAACGGGCAAGTCGAAACAACAGAGACACGCTGACCGCGCGCCTGGAAAAATGTTGAGCCGCCCTGAGGGGGTCAACTGTTGGAGCAACGAAGCCTCTTCGGGCTGCAGAAGCTCTGAGCCGTAGCTTTGCGGATTCGCCTTTCTCCGTCGCACTGCCTCTCTCCGCTTCTGCATCTTTTAGGCTTGCCAAATGACAATTGCAACTAGGGCAAGAGCTGTCATGGACGTGCTGTCCAGTTTTGGGCTTGATCGACGCACATGTTGACCCCGAGAGAAGCATAAGGGCCTGAGGGCCTGAGGCGAAAGCTGCCACGGGTTCGAACACCCAGTGTGAGCACCCTAAGCTTCTTTCTGCAGAGTAGGCACTTCAGACCATGCACCCCATCCCTCCCACTTGGTTCTTTTCCACTTCGTTACTCGGGCGCAGCTTTGGAAGCCTCGGGCAGCTTTGGATAGCCACAAGTACGGACCACGAGTGGGACCAGTGAATGTGTCCTGACTTACTACGGTCGTTGGTTGGCCGGCTTTGCATGGCCAAGTTGGACTATAGCCAAGTTGCGTTCCAAGCGACCAAAAATACGCGTTCTAAAACAGTCTGTGTCCACGCCATCAGCCTCAAATCCCACAGTTGATCGAATCCCACAGTTGATCGAAGAGGGAGAAAGAGAGCCCACATGGAGCGTCTCGCGAGACCTCTTTGCCTTCTCTCGATTGCCTTCTCTCGACTGTCGATGATGTGCTGGTGTTGACTTGAGCAAGCCGAAAAAGTTGGCTGCCACAAGGACTGATGGATGCTCTTTGGTGGCTGCGAAAATGACTGAAAGGGCGGTTTGTTGAGACAAACCAAGCGTTTAGAATTCTGCTCCCACATGTATGACAATATCAAAATTAGGCCACGTGGCTCAGCCATGAAAAAAGGTTCCTTGTGTCTGACATTCCCCAAGTCTCACTCCTAAATCACAGGGCGTGTCCCAACCATCCAAGCAGGTGTGGAGTGCCAAGCAAACTCCAGCGGACTCCAGCGCAAGAGCTTGATTTCATTTTGCAACCGGTGTGAACGACGACGAAGGCTTAATTTGTTCGTTTCGATATATGCAAGGCAACTATATGACAGTGCTGGAAAGTGTGTATTTGGCGCAGCTTTGGCTAGTGGGTCGGGTCAAGGGAAGCAACGCAGACTTTCCTAACTCCACCTCAAAAGAGATGGCACTAGTGCCCAACGCTAAACGAGAATTGGCGCTCGCCTCAGTCCAACGAACGCGTTGATTAGCATAAAAGGGCGGAATCTAGGAAACGTAGACAGTTGGAAAGGCAAAATACCAGATGGCTCCCTTTTAGGGGACCTGTAGATTCTACAAGTTCTTTCTGTGCGCCAGGCCAACTTCGCCATAAGCCGCTTCACGCCCACCGGCACACTGTTCTTCGGCGGCTTCGGGCCCATGGCCGGCGTCTCAGCGCGTCTTGCGGGTTGCAACCCAAACATGGAGCATCTGCAGCCAACAGTGAGCCCGGCATTCCTGTGCAGGATATATCTCCAGCTGACAGTGAACGCATCATTCCTGTAAAGGATATATGTCGCAGGAGAGTGTTGAAGGAGCCTGTGTGGATGTGCGCACATGTTTGCCTGTGCTTGATAGTCACATCCCTGCACATCTCCTTGCAATATGTCAGAGCACAAGCATGTTTCCAAGCAGCCAACGCCCAGTCTTTCGCGACCAAAAAAGCTGTATGTGTATCCACAAATACCTGAGTATACCATAGATATATATATATATATAGTGTGTATATATATATATGTATATATATATATATTTGCACATCACAGACTCCTTCGCTGGCACAAACGCCAGCAACCTTATAACCTCCTCTACCACCAAGCGTATCTGTATATATATATATATATACATGCATACATGCGTGTAGGGCATGCTCATCATGGATGGATTCCAGCATCACAGCACATAATGCAAGTCCTGCCCAACCGCACAAACCGAAACAAAACACAACTAACACAAAACCGAAATTGAGTTGCTGGAGCCTCTAACAAAAAGCTGCATGGAACTAGACGTGGGCCTGGAGCCATGTGTCAAGTCCAAGACGGGTCAGCAACTGGTCGCTGCACAAGCACAGGCAGCAGCGACAAATGGCAACACCAGCAGTACACAATATAATTCCTAATATATCTAAATATAGAAACCTGCGTGCCGTCTTTAAAACTCCACCGACCAAATGAAAATGCAGAATGATTGCGGCTCCCGCAACATGGATATTGATATCACAATCACACAGCGTCCTTTGCAATAGTTGCTGACCGCCTGGCCGCCCATCACTAATCAGCTAGTGTGTGTCCGAGGCACGTGGGGAGTCGCCAGCGTCACATTAATGGCTGTGAAATTGATGGTGCCGTCCTTTTTCCTGCCAGGCTTTTGCGCATCATTTGCTCGGACCCCAATGGGCGATGCTTAAATGGCAAACACTGACAACCCTTCCTCAACATGAAAGCAACGGGGAGTATACCAGTGCACAAAAACGAGTCGTGGTTGTTTCAAGTGTTTCGCCGTCTCTGCGAGGACAACAGTTCGGCACCAAGCTAAACAAACAGTCCCCATCTGAGGGCCCCTCTTGCCGCGCTCAAGCTCGAACTCCAGCACATCCCCCGGCTGCGGGGTAAAGCCTGCACAGGCTTGCACAAACTCACATGGAGACCACGCCGCTCACAAGTAAGTTTTCGTATCCGAGTGGTGACCATGGGCAAACAATTCGATCCTAGGATCAAAGATTTGCCAGGTTTTATTGGAGATCAGACCGGATGAGAACCCAAACACCTGCCACCGATTCGATCAAAGGACCCCCGCTCCAAAATGCGCTGCTGCTGCTGCTGCTGCTGCTATTTTGAGGATCAACCAAGGTTTTCCCGGCCCCTGGTGTTGTCATGGCCACTGGAGTTCGATCTTAACAATCGCTTGCAGGAAGCCAGACGCTGAGACAAGTTCTTGCTGAACATGGTGGGGTAGATATTCCTGTTCTTTCCAGTGGCTATCAAACCTCCACTCACGGTCGCAACTTGCGAAATTCATAGCTTTTTTTCAGAATGCTCTCGATGGCTCCTTAGGCTTTCCTCACCAACAGGCAACAAGCGGAATTGCTCACACTGATGCCTGTTCAAACATGTTGAACCCACGTTGTTTTCAGCATCTTTTCAGCTGGCTGGGTTCCTGAGAACAATTTTGCCCAACCCGCTCAAAGAGCAAGAGACCCAAAACACGGGGTCGCTATTTGTTGACTCCCCCCTTGCAGCGCCCGCTCTGGCGAGATAAACCTCATTGTCTTCCCGCACTTTACGGCTCATTGGTCAACCCAACAAACAATCCCAGAGACTAAGTGTCGGAAGCCCCTCCTGACACAGAGCAGAATAAATCTTGAATTTGCTAAATGCACACAGGCTGCCAAGACAATACGGCCCAATCAATAATTTCTGGAACCATGCTTTGACATGTAATGTGTATCGGCATGGCCGAAATGGGGGCCTTGCAAACCCTATCAAGGTTAGCAAAAATGTATCCTCTGGATAAACTGACCCGTGCAAGTTCAGATCCCTGCTCCCAGATTTTCACTCCTCATGCCGGGGGGCCTCCAACACAGTGGTGGGAGTGCACGAAGATGTCAGTGCAGCCTGCGGCGGTATCATGTTGCCCAGCTCATCAGAAGATCCTCGCCCATCCAGGCAAACATAACTCCTTTGTGGTCATCCTGAAAACTGGCAACAGAACAGAAACATGTTACCACTGCACAATCGAGCGCCCCTGAATAAGTCACATATACAAGGTACGACTGCGTAAAGTGGAGACCCATACCAAGGGTAAAGGACTAACCAGCAGCAGCAGCAGCAGCAGCAGCAGCAGCAGCAGCAGCAGCAGCAGCAGCAGCTTCAGCAGCTTCAGCAGCAAGACGACGGCATGCTGCATGCTCCTCCGGCAGGCCTGGAATCGTCGCGAAGCCTCACTTGCAGTCGGAATAGCGCTGCACCAATGGCCATCAAAGCATGCCGTTTGTTTCGTGAATAACATACTGTGTTGCTCGCAAGAATCACCGATGCTTCGTGCTGCTTCCACATGCTTTACCTCAGAGGTCTTCATTGCAGCATAGCTGGTCCCTAGTGGATGGACTTGACAGTCGTTCTTGGCCCAAGTTTTACTTCAAGAAAGCATCATTCCGGGGCAGCAGCCCTTCTTCAACCGTTCCCTAGCCATCAGGAAATAAAATGTGACGATCTGGCGATCTGTGTGTCTGCGCACCCCCCATAGAAAGTCCAAAACGAGTCCAAGCGGCCCCAGCCCCTCTCCGGGATCCAGGAGTGCACCATGCCCCGGATGCGCGCCAAGGACTGACCGGAACCACAAAGGCGGCTTTCCCAATCGACAAATTCAGGTTTGCTTTGTGTCGACCCTGGAACGCTAGCAAAAATTGGACATGTGGCTGCGCCTGTCTCCTCTCCGAAATTGCTGGCGCAGCAGTCGAGCTGCTATCAAGCCATTCTACCATTTACAAAACGGGCGGCGCCTTCTTGCCCTGACCATCCATCGGGCCCGGCCGTTTTGAAGTCTTGTCATCCACCGGACCATAGCTGTCCTGCCGCTTTCCAAGTACATCCCAAGGCATAACCCAGTTGCTACTATAGCGGAAAAGTGTTCAAAGCTGCAAGTTCTTTCCGCAATCAAGTGGGCAACACACACACACACACATCAAGTGCCAACTATTGGATGGTGCAAAGCTTTCAACTTTCAAGTAAGTAGCTGGAAAATGCTGGAGCGCTGTGTGGCCTATTCAGCGCAAGATCATGTGGCTCATGATGCTCGTGGGCAAAAGTCAGGTAGTACCAACGTTTGCAGGAAAGCTCAAACTTGTGGTTGGTTCCCGCTTGCCAGAAGCAACCACTCAAACTTATTACGAAAGCAAGTGGGCTCAGCAACCTGCCTCGCTCTTCTCAGGTTGGCAGGTACCACTGCTCCTTAGCTGCCTTGCTGTGGGAAGCACATACAGAAAGGGTGCACGGAGTTCAATCCTTGGGTTGTCCCCCACCACAAAGCGTGAGACAATGTCGACTGCTCCAAAACAACTGACTCGGACTCCACACAGCATCGTTTCAATCTGATTATATGATGTCAAACCCTGGGTAGTTGGAGGTCGCTGCAGCTGAGGGGAAGGCACAGGCTGGCTAGAGCTCCCACTTACCTCCTCAACAGGTGCCAAGATCAAGCTGCTGCGGTTCAAGCCGCGGCAAGCCCCTGTCCGGTTTTTTCTAGGGCACGGTTAGCGAAAACCCGCGCCCCCCCCAAGGCAAGTCGGAGCGAGCCGAGCAGCACGTTGATCGCCTTGAGCTGCACAGTGCCATCGTCCTGAAAGCGTCCGAATGGCTTTGGTCCCACCCACCCGAGGGTAAAGGGGCCGCATGCTCCCGCTGCAGCATACCGCACATACACAAACTGGTCTTATTGGATATGGTGCTGGCCCCTATGCCAAAACGGCATCTGAACTCCCTAGCAAACAACACATCAGTAGCTTTGATCCCTGTGACGGTTTACTCTGTGAAATTCCAAGTTTGAGAAAACACAGCAGTGCGGATCGGGAAGGGAGGGGCGTCCGGGGCCAGCACGGGCCTCCCTGCAACTGGATGCAACAAAATGCTTCTGGTAAACAAGCTAGGCAACTTCCTCAAGGAAGCATCTCTCAGTCCATCAGACATACCTGCACACATTGTCAACAAGAACTCGGTCCATCCTTCCGAGTTCAATTCAGCGCCCGCCAAAATATGCAAGCTCTCAACAAAAGATGGCTTGCATGGTCGGCAGGGGATCGACCTGCCAAAGCTACTATTGAGCAACATATATGTATGTATATGTATATATATATATATGTCAGTTCCTCCACAACAACCCTTCTCATCCGTTCTGGCAGCACACATCACCACTTCCACTCGCTCCCTCTTGCTCCAACAAGAATGCTTCCCTTTGGAGAAGACTCCATAGCACCTCTCCCATGCACACTATGCTTGGTATCATGGCATAAAATTGTTGCACGCAAAGAAATCTTGAAACGTGCAGTGGTGTGCCTCTGTCTTGTTGCCGATGTCACCTGCTTTGGAGGCCTTGCGTGTCCCAAACACAGATTATATAAAACAATCACTCGACATAAGACACCAACGCTGACAAACACGCAACCATGAAAAGCAACCAAAATGCTAAGGCCCTAAAAAGCCAATGGAAAAAACTTCAATGAGAAGAAATGGAGAACAAAACGCAAACACGTCGAAAGTCGACGTGCACTCCAGCTTCACGGGCTCCACGTCGAAGTACACAGTGTCTCCCACCTTGGGCTCCCCGATGGCCATGTCCGCCGCCCGCAACAGCACCGGCTGGCCTACACCGACTACACCGACTACACGGACTGACACGGACTTCCAAGGAAACCCGAAGCCGCACAGGTGCAAACCCCAAAACTTGCCCAAAGCTTCTCAGTCCTTCCTAGTTGCTAGTCCTTCCTAGTCCTTGGGGAAGTCTCCTTCAAGCTTCTTTTCACTCCTCATTGGAACACCAGGAGAACTGTGCGTTACAGAAAGTTGGCACAACTACAGGGCTTCTACAGCTGGTGTCTTGATTCTTTGATTGAGAATCGAGAAGGGCGGCAAATCGCAGAAGAGGGCATGTGTGTACATTTACTAATGGCTGGATTCAGAAGGACATGCTCTCAACAATTGACAATTGCTGCTGCAAGTGATGTTGCGATTCTGTTCATTGAGTTCAGGATCCCTCAGGCCCTGGCAGGTTCACCATCACCATCACCGTCACCTCCATCAGTACCACCACCATCATCCATCATCGTCGCCGTCACCACCATCACCATCATCACCATCATCACTATCACCATCTCCGTCATCAACAACATCAATAACATCAAAATGAACTACAACATCAACTACAACATCAACAACATTGTCAACATAGATCTGTCATCATCATTGACGTTCTCTGACGTAGTGCAGAAGCTTTCACATAGTTACTGCTCAATAACATTGCCGTCGCAGCAAAAGTCAACATCTGCGACATAAATCCCTGGAAGGGCACGTGGAGCAGCCTTCCAGCAAGTAGGTGGGGTACATGCTAAATGCACTTACAGTATGTACTAGCTGGGATGAGCCTCCAAATATCTCGCTTGCTCAAAGAGTAAGCCCCCTGCGATATATCGCTGGCTCGATAAAGCCAAAGCCTCAGAGGCCAAAGTCGAGGGCTGGCTCGAAGTGAACGTGGCCACAATCAAAAATAAACTAGAGGGCTCTCCCAAAGTTGCCCCTAAGCGTGGCTTCAGAATCAACACAAAGGTCAGGGTCCCGAATTCAGAGCAATTCCTGCATGTTGCCTCCTCGAGTGGCACGTTGCTCACACAAGTCAGACGCAAAAGCAGGGAGTTGCTTCTCCCGCGCATGTACATATATAGTTATATCTCTATCTCTTTCTTTTTCTCTTTCTCTCGCTCTCTCTCTCTGTCTGTCTCTGCCTCTCTTTCTCTCTCTCTCTCTCTCTCTCTCTCTCTCTCTCTCTCTCTCTCTCTCTTTTTCGCGCATTGCCACATGTCAAGTACGTGACCAGTGAACATGGCCGGGCTCATGGGTAGCCATTTTGTAGCATCGCCCTGCCCGGAACTGGGTCTTGCTCAAATTAGGCTCAAAGGGGCTTGGATTGCTTGGCCAAGTGTCTCTGCCAAGTGATATGGAGTCAGCTGCATTTGAACCATAGCCACTATTCGCCAATTTGGTTTCACTCCAAACAAGGGGTGACATATCAACATCCGAAAGCACGAATGCAGGCAAAATCACAGGGTCTCCAATTTTGGCATAAACCACACATCCTTGACGTCCCAGGTGCCCTTGTCCGGGTTGTACGCTCTGACCTGAGCGTACATCTGCGCGTTCAACCGAACACCTGCGTTGGTCCATTGATTCTAGCAAGCGCGCTTACATTGACTCCTGAGTCTGAGGAAGAAAAAACCTACACGTGAGCACAGCAAAAAAATAAGCCACAATCACAAGAAAGAAAGCCCCCACACTGGTGGTTTTTCAGATGGTATAGGTCACAAGGTCAAAGCTCCAAAGACCGAATGACACCATGGAGCCACCAAAGGTCAACCAAAACAGAACAAAAAGAAAAAACAAAGAGTTTTCACACGTCCCAGCTCAAATTGTGAATGCGGCAAGCTGGAAAGTGACGCAGCGCTCCACCATTACCACATCTTGTAGCAGGCATGTCCGGATGATCAACCTGGATATCCTCCCAACTCATGAGCAGCTTCATTGGCAGTGGGCTCATGAGCGGGCCACCCCTGCCCGCGCAACTGTCCCAAGACTGGTAGAAACAGAGGTGCTCACCTGGTCGTCCGACTTGAAGTTCGTGGGCAGTGGGGCAGGCTGAATGCTGGAATCTGCTTCTTGTCAATGGCTGTGTGAAGATCCTCGCGCAAGCAACCGATTGACTGTCAACGCGCTGGTCGTTGGACTTCAGTGGAGTTGACGATTGACTGCGCGCGTGCTGTCGATGGACCACTGCGACTGACCAGGTCCGGTAGTTGATGCGGCTTCTCTCCGTTGTGTCTGGCCCCACCTGCAATGACTGCCAGGCTGATTGGCACACATGTCTGTGCAAAAGTGCTTTGCAAGCTCTCTCCTACAGCAGGTTTGTGACCCAGCTAAGAACCAAACTTTGCAGCGCCTGGTGGACTGAGTGCGTGCGTTGCACATGGGCAAATCAGGCAAAGCACGAGAGACATGGACAAGGGCCTGATTTGTGGGATGGGTTGGAGCCCCTGGCATAAGCACTACGGGATTTCCTAACATGGGCAGCGCTAAGCATGCCCAGCTAGTACGTCAAACAGAGGCCGGCACGGCAATTTTGACTTCATACCAATGCCTGTATGGGCTTCGCGCCGCGTGAAGGAGCTTAGCGCAACGCCTGTTGTCAAATCGCACTTGCGCAAACCACATCCAGCGTGGAAAACGCAAGATGCGCCAGCAGTGGTCAAAGCGACTAAAGCCGCGAAACAATCGGCGAGAGCCGTGAACATTGTCAAATCGGATGCCTATGGGTCGGTCATCCGCAAACCGGGCGTCGGTCAAGGTTATCTGGGGTCAACGGCCCTCACGACGGGCACTCTGACAAGAGACCTTCCGCCGGTCGCACTGGTGGTTTTTCAGATGGTATAGGTCAAATGTCAAAGGTCGGAAGAACGAATTGGCACTAGGGAGCCACCAAAGGGTCAACCAAAAGGGCTCAAACAGAGACCAAAAAGAAAGAAGAAAGAGTTTCCACGCGTCTCAGCTCAAATTGTAGATGCGGCAAGCTGAAAACTGATGCAGCGCTCCAACATTACCGCAATTTCTTCAGGATGATCAGACCGGATATCCTCCCAACTCATGAGCAGCTTCATTGGCAGTGGGCTCATGAGCGGGCCACTGCCCCCTGCTCGTGACAAACAATTCAAGATTGTCCAAGTCTGCGAAAAGCTCTCTCTACCGAGTTGGGCTGTCCCACACACACACACACACACACACATACAGACTAAAACACACGTACGCAACGCAGGAACGCACGTACGCTCGCAACGCAACGCGCGCACGCAGCCCACCCATGCAACACACAGACACGCACGCATTCGCGGTGACGCTGGCGCAAACACACACAGACACAAATACAAGCACCACAAACACACACAAGATAAGAAGGAAAGCAAAGAAACAATAAGAAAGCGAGACAATCAAACTAAACAGAAGCAAAGCAAACCAACCAAAGCAAACAAGCAAACAAGTAGACAAGCAAATAAGAAAACAGGCAATCAAGCAAGCAAACAAACAAAGCACACCAAACCAAACCAAAGCAAAGCAAACCAAGCCAAGCCAAACCAAGGCAAGCCAAACCAAACCAACCATAATTAGCCAGCCAAGCCAAACTAACCAAACAAAACAAACAAACGAACAAACAAACAAACAAACAAGCAAACCAAGCCGAACAACCCAAACAAACCAAACAGAACAAACCAAACAGAACAAACCAAACAAACAAGCAAACAAACAAACAAACAAGCAAACAAACAAATAAGCAAGCAATCAAACAAACATCGAACCACACAACAAACAGTATCCCTGTTTAGACATTGCTTCCATGAACATCCAATCCACCGTTTGCACGGATCCTTATCATCTCATGCCTAGTTTTGCCAACAGGGCGCAAACCCACGGCAGATGACTTCGGCAGAATTGGTCCCATCTGTTTGCTCCCAAGGAGCCACTCCATGGAAAGCACCTTTTGGCTGCTCTGGAGGCGGCTCACTGGCCGTCATACCTGAGCTGGTTTGAGACCCCGCTTGCCCACTTGGAGTGGGTCCAAATCCGGGTAATGGCAGCCCGGCAAAATTGGTAAGGTTCAAAACTTGATTCAAGAACTATGACCGTTGTTGGCAGGCACGCGTACCAATATGTGAGCAGGAGCCATCTCAACAGTAGCGAGCGACAACACATGTTTGGCAAAGTGAAACATGGCCAACACCTGTCTGCCAATGGCTCTCTGCGGAGCCTGGATGTCCCTGAGCCTGAAGCAAGCCAATTGACAGGCTCATGTTTCATTGCTGACACTACACGTCCTGGGAAATTGCCGATTCAGCAAAATGGCGCATACGCCAAACTGCACAGGCATCCAAGAAAGTCAGCCATCCACTTCCTGCAAACATCTTGAAAGTGCAAGCCTTGAGGCTCAGTCGGCAATGATGCCCAGGGATCAGCGCCGAGGCAGCCGACCCTTCGCTTGCTGGTTGTCAAGGAGCCAAGCAGAACAAGAAGGGAACACAGCGGGTGCGACGGAACAGCCGAGCTGCCAAGCATGTTGGCGATGAGCCTGGGCAAAAAGCAGCGAACATGACAGGCAGGCAGCTACCAACCACATACAAACAACAAGCAGTTGAGAATGCTTGTGGCATCTTCAGGAGTGACTGCTGCCGAGATTCTGTTTGTTCAGCTCATCTGCGCGTTGTCCACTGCATCCTTTCACGTTCTTCCTTGGCTGTCCCGGAAGCACAGGCGGCTCAGCATGCACATCCGGCAGAATTGACAGGCCAAGCTGGACAAAGGTGTGACAGGCGCGCTATCCCAGATTTGACTTGTCCAGAGCACTGCGTTTAGACTGTTAATACCTCTTCAATGTCATGTTTGGAAGAACCTGGCAAACTGAGGACCAACAAGTCTGCTGCAGCATTGCCACCGAGACTCGCTTGGGGCTGCTCAGGACATTTGGGGTTCTTCCTCAGCAGCTTACAAGCAGAGTTCAACTTGCCTGCCAACTCAAGGCTGCACCAGGCTGTGAGATGCTGCGAGGCAGTCAGCTCTATCCTGTTTTTTCGATGGTCGTCTGGCAGGCCTTCCTTTTACAAGTATCTGAGACTGCTCCTCGTTTTCGCTTGAGTGTGCGGAGCAGAGAAAGCTACAAGGCTGATAAAAAAAAGGCTCGTGTAGTGGCAACTGAAACGGTTGACTGCAATTCAAGCAGCTCAATGTCGAAGGTCACCACATCCCCCACAGCAGGTTGCCCAGAGACGCAGTACTTGACGTGCACGAAAACCTTGCCCCAACTCAAGGGCTTTCGCTGTTGCCAAGTCGTGTGACACTTTGACTTGGGGGCACTGCTTGGAAACTGTCAGCTTGGAATTATGAAAACTCCTCACAACTGCAGCTATTCTCTCCTACTCCAAACCCAAGAAACACCACAAGCATGTGCTTGGTGCGGAAATTCCGCCAAGAATCAACTTTCATGGAATACGATTTACCTTTTGCCCTTGGTCAAAATCAAGGGTCCTCAGAGGGGTCTGCAGGCTGACAGTTGCCGAAGTCCTGGCGCAGTGTTGGCCGCCCAACGTGATGATGCATGGTCAGAAGTCCAAATCCCTTTGCAGAGGGTCCAAATAATATATCACATGCGTGCAGATTTGGCGAAGTGACATTTACAAAGCCCCTTCAAGTGGACTCGAAGTCGTCCATATGTAGTCAGACCATCTAGATTGCCTGATTTGATTTATGCCGACAAAGGGTTCATACATGGCAGGTCACCGATGCTCACCCTTGCAAACTCCCAGCGAACCGAATTTTGGGAAAATGATGCGTGTACAGCTGCGTGCGACAAAATGCAGCTAATGCAATAGCGCAGCAATCCTAACACCAACAACAACCTGGAAGTTCGGCAAACAGCCCTCCCCCTCCCGCCCCCAAAAGCAAGCTGCAGCCTGGACTCCCATACTCATATATAGAGAACCATCGTCCCGCATGCGCAAGGGCATGACCATACAAGCAAACTTCGGAAACCCGGGCATGGGGCAAAGAATTGGTGCCGCATCCTTGCCCGTGGCAAGCCCAAGCGTTTGCTGACTGCGGTATAGCAAGGAATGGCAGGGAACCGCGCTAGGAATTGGATGCCACACCCTTAGCAACCGCACGCCGAGCAACATCTACACCACAGCAGTCGATGAAGCCCCAGCCCTGGCCGGCCAGCGGAAAACGAAGCCTGCCCTTTTGTGCAGGCCACGGGTAGGCAAATGCGTTGCTGCGAGTGAGCTGGTCATGTTGTCCCGAAAACATGCGCGGTGGTACCACATGCGCACTACCTACTGCACAGAAGATAACATGCGAGAGATATCCAATATTTTTACATCAACTACACTGCACATGAGCAAGACACACACACACACAAGCCAGCAGCTGTCACAATATCCACACACAGCGAGAGAAGAAAAAACAACTCATGAGGAAGTTACGCATGAGCAAAATGTCACTCAAGCCAACACACAAGCACAATTGCTGCTGAAAAGCACAACCAGCACACTCTTGCACAGTAACACGCATGAGAGAAGCCCTCGTTGGGAAGAAGGCACACCTGGGCAAGGTACTCGGAGCCGGTGTCCAAATCAGCGTTGGAGGTCCGAATGTTCTGCAAATGTGGAAGTCGAAACAAACCCCTTCACACTTCGATGTTAGAAGAAAAAAACACTGCGCAATTTGAACTAACGGAGCCAAAAAAAGCCTTGGGGCTTCTAGGTTAATCCCAGGGAGTGTGTCATACTTACTCGGGCAAACACACTCCAAACATGTGGCCTCTTGTGCAAAGCGTAAGATCAGATTTGCACAGCACACGCTTCATTCAGAAAGCCTGCATGCTTGCCCAGAACACGGCACACGGAGAAAACTTGCTAAAAGCACACTTGCTAAACACACTCTCGCAAGCTCACAGGGCGCTAAGGGGCTCTTCGCAATGCACATTTGCACGCAGCAAACAGCAATGCTGGCACAGAGTGGTTTACGAAACGCTTCTTCCTTAATGACAGTTAAAAGGGTGCGGAATTCATTGGGTGTGGTTTCTGGTTTTCTTTTCTTCTTGCTGCTTTTCTTATTGGCCGCCAAAATATATAGCACTGTCAATTCAGGAAAAACACCCACAGCCATCCCCTGCGAAACCCCCAGCATCACCAGCAAAACTCCTAGCATCAACAGCAAGCTGCCGAATTGAAATACGTTGTTTCGGGTGAGTTTAATTGATCAGACTAGGCCGCACTTTCCAGCGAGTGGAAAATAAAGAAAACAAACATTGCACCTCATCTTGATGATGTCAGAAAAATACAAATCGCACACCTGTGATCTTCACTCACCTGTGACATGTATGTTGCTGCTTTCTGGCCACCCATCTACTAGTCTGTGGCGAGATTTCATGTTCATTGTTGGTGGCTGCCTTGCCAGCAAAGCAGTAAATGGCTAAAGTGACTTTTGGGGACCATGATTACAAGCAAAACGTCAAGAAAGGTCTGCGTGGAAGAAGCGAGGTGGAAAACCAACTCGGCAAAATACACAAAAGAGTCCACCGGTGTCTGAGCATCTGTAGCAACAATGGGCAGCCAGCTTTTACTCGGCATGGCATTGAATGAAATGTCTCAAAAGAATCGTGCAAAAAGCTGGGTTTGGGAGTTTAAGGCACTGGTGCCTTTACATGAAGTACAGGGACTTCAGTTTCGTCGAAATCAGCTGTGTCCAGAGATTCGGACAATACTTCCGCCATTGTCTCCGCACAATATCCTGTTCTTGACATACAGCATGTACAGGGCATGCAGATATCTGTGGCTCAACCTATGCGTTCTCGCAGCCATCAATTCCCTTCAGCTGTGGGGAGACGTGCGCTACGGTTGTCCCCCATGTTGCAAGCAGTCTGGGGAATGGACGGAATGGACCTGACTTCAGGATGCCCCGCCTTGACAGGATTGAAGCTCTTCACGGTGCCTGGCATGGTCAATTTGCTTCCTGAGTCATGTGGACGGCTGACACAAGGTACTTGGCTTGGAAAAGCCCGACAAGGCTGTCGTGGCAAAGGAACCAACATTCCCTCCCAAATCAAAACAGGCGTCCCCCAAACTTCACTCGATGGGACTCACATAGGTCTGGCACCTTTCAGGCATCTACCGCTCAACTTGCTGGGATTCCACTTTCTCCACGAAAGCAACTCGGCAGCCACTTCCCAGCCTGTAGATGGCATGAGCAAAGTCTTGCCCCTTGAAGTCCAGTGCAAAGCCAAGCCCCGGATAAATCTGTCTTGCCTGTGCTCCTAGTTTATGCTAATGCGTCTTCCCATGGACAACGCCTCTCCATGCGCCGCACGGTGTCTGACATGAGTGCTGCTCCGCCCTTGGCTCCACTACATCTGCGAAGCCAAAATGTCGGGCTGCAAAGGGGGTGGCTGCAAAAGAGGGTCTGCTGCAAGCAAGACCTGCACAATCATGACTCAAATGTGTTCCTGTTTATAACAAAGTGTGTTTCATGAGTTGGAAGGAAAATAAGCGAAACCTTGCATTGGGAAAAGCGCAGGAATCGCCAGACAATTATATACAGTAGTGATGTCCAACCCCGAATTACAAACTTGACAGCAAACAATCTGTGTGTGTTTCCGTCAGATTTTCTTCACTCAAATTTGGCACGTCCCACCACGACAGGGCTGAATCATGGCTCGTGCTTTTCCCCACGCTAGGCCAGGCACCGTTTGCCGTCTCACAGTCAGACACGCCACATGCCCCGCCTAGATTTCAAGCAGGCCAGTTGAAATTTCACTCTGAGGCGGCGCCAATAACCTGCCAAGTTGCACCAAACGCTGTCCTTCAATTTCCATGTTTGATCAACCGGTCGGTCAAGCAGGCGCATGAATTGTGGCTCTTTGCCCCATTACTTTAGGGCTCCAATTTCCAAACAAGCGGCAGGCTTTCCGGCTCAGGGAATACTCCGCCTCCGCAAGCCACATTGGCAATCGGGCACAGGTGCCTCCGAACCCACATCGAGTGGGTGGCACCCCAAAAAGACACTATGAAACATGAGCAGCGCCCAAAACCTGTTGACTTGTTTAGCTCTACCAAAATGGTTTGAAAAGTTTATATGGGCCTTTACTTTTACCTGTATGAAACCAGGTAGTGGAACCAGCTACTAAAATTGTAAATTGGGGTTTTGGGCGCTGCTCACGTCGTCACAGGTCCTGTACAAAGAACTCTGGGCTTCCCTCCCAAAGGCAAGCTGCTCAGGAGTCCAAACAAGCTACGGGCCCGACATCTGGCTGTTGCAGATCTGTCCCATTCAAGCCTCGTCGTCTTTCTTGTGAGACGGGAAAGTATGTCCGATTTTGAACCTAGCTCTGCTTGTCTTGCTGTAGGGCTCCACCGTGCTGCACTTGCGAGGATCGGCTCGCCAAGTCAAGAACCTTGCCGAAGCAAGCCTCTTTGCGCGATTTTACCCAACAAGTTCACTTTGCCGAAGCCGGCAAAGCAAGCTTGCACCAAACCGTCTTCGTCAAAGATGAGACACTGCAGCTCCCTGTCGAAGAGCTCTTTGTCCTGTACTGCAGAAAGATATGCCAATAGTCGAGACAAAGCAACTCTCCGCGTGGTTTGAAGCAAACCAAGTGTCAAAGCAATCAGAACAGTGTTCAACAAATGCTGAGGCAATTTTGGTCAGCTGCTGCCCGTTTGTCCCAGTACTCAAAATTAAGGATGGCATTCCTATGTTTGCACTTGCTATTTCGTTTCATACTGCGGTGTCCAATTGTTCAGAGGTTCAGCCTGTCATGCTGGGTCTTCTGGAGCAACGATTGCAAAACCCCGCAGGCTGCCAGGAGGGAATCTGAAAACAAACTCAAAAAGGAGATTTCCAAAGCCACATGAAACAAACAAACAACACGAAACGGCAAAGAAACAGCACAATTCAGGAAAGCAGAAATCATAAGACAACTGCCAATGTCAGAGGGTAGTTGCGACGGATTTGAGCGTTAAGCATGGTGTCTGGAGAATGTACTTGTTGGGGTCGGGCATTTTTTTTTGGGTGTCTGAACCTTCTGCAAGCTTCGCCGGCTTGGGTGTCTCAGAGTACTAGCAGTTTTTAGGACCCGTGTGAACTCCAAAGTTCCGGGAACTATACGGATAGGCAAAGCTTTATTCTTGGTGAAAATGCTGCGAAGAAATATTACGGTCTGCATTGCGTGGTTGTATGGTTCAAGGTGATACTGATATATGTCAGCGGTTGGTCAAGTGTCAGTGTATCTCAAGTTGATGTTCATGCCGCCTGTGCGCCTCGTTGAACGGGAAATTGCCAAGTGCAAAGTCCTCATACCGAATGCGTGGACTTACAGTGCTCTATCTGCGTGTTGAGTTCATACCTGCTACACCCCGCCCCCCTGGGTATTGACACGTTTGCTGCAACAAAACTGGTACAGGTCTGTGTTGAGTGTTGAGTGTTAAGCAATTTGTAACTGCAAACATACGAGATAAATCAATTCTCTGTCAGCCAACTGGTAAGCATGGTAAGAGCAAATAATTGCGAGGTTTGATTTGTGGGTGACACATAAGTTCGGAACACCCCCTCCTCAATCTTGCTCAAAATCCGCTGCGTGTCAGCAGGGTTGGACGCTCTCATCTCTTCCACTCTGAGCATGTGCAGCCACTGCTCGTGCTGCTTCAGATTCGCTTCGGAAAAAATGCTCATACGTTGCGTCATGCGCTTCTGCTGAGCACAGTGGATCTCCTTATATCACAGCGCGGCAGCTTGAAAAGGGACCTTGAAGGAAACCAGTCATGTACTCCTGCGGAGTCGCTAGTAGGGCCCAAGGATTCACAATAGAAGGCTGCGAATCATAGCTCCCTGTAATTACTTAGCTACTGTACGTTTGCGTGTTTGGACCAAAAGTGAATATTCCTTTCCACTCCCCGAAACTGTGCCGCTTCCAGATTGTCGAGCAGCATCAGTGAATTCTCAAAGATGCAAAAAGAGAACCAAGTAGCCATGCGAAGCAGGCTCCTATGTGCCGGTCGGACAGTCTATTACCCTTGAGCCCGGTCTCTGCCACGCACCACGCCCTCGTAAAGAGATTGAAGTTCATGTCCACTGCGATAAGCTGAGCAAACCTGATTGCGAAAGCAAAACATCACCCCCCCTTTTCTCTAACTCATCCGCAACAGCCAGGCAGCGAGGGATTGCTGTAGGCCAGGTAGCTCATCATATCCTGAAATCATTGTTGACATGGAGCAATAAAACACACAAATAACAACCTGTACAATGTGGAACAAAGTGTCAACAAAAGGTTGCCGCACTCATCCAAGCTGCATCAAACTTGTTCATTTCACAATTCACGCTTTGCCTCAGCTCGGGAGCACTTTCACGCTCAGCCGGGTGTTGCTGGAGGTTGCTGGGTGTGGCATTGGACAGGATGGCTTTCAGTCTGGCGCTGATGAATCTGAGTAGCTATTGCCCTATGCTCACGTCGTCAAAACTTCACTTGCTCTCTTTCAGGTTCGTATGAGAGTCAGTTCGAATGAGTTTGGGCGGAGCTCACGAACTTACTCCATTCGGCACGTTTGAGCAATATCAAACAAGTATCACGGTTGTCGATCGCTATCGAAAATTTACAATTACCAATCGCTGCGCTAGAAAATGTTGAACAATTTGTGGAGCTACCTGGATTTCACCCGGTGTCCACATGCCAGAGGCACAAAATCATTTTTCTGGGAAACGGAACGGTTTTTGCTGGGCCAGGGTGAGGGTGAGGGACAAAGGCGAAAATTAAAATAGTTCCGAGGAAATACCAAAAATCATCTTCTGGTAACTTAATTAAGGGAAGCAGGGACAAATGCCCAAAAACTGACTTTTCGAGAATGAAATTTATTGTCGGAATAGTTGCTTATTTGGCCATCTATGTTTCAGGACGTTCGAGTTGGTAACGAGGGGATGAGGTTTTACGCTTGTACTTTACAGTGGGGCGGTGCCACGCTCTGACATGCACTGTTGTGTCCTTGGGGAACACACACCATGAATTTGTATGCCCCCCCCGCCACCCCTGCTGGACCTGCGCTTGGGTCAGTTTCACGGCGGACCTTTGACATCCATTTGGACTCAGCTTTGTAGAAACACCAAATCCAAATAGGTTTGTTTCACTTCAAATGTACGCGAAGTACACTTTAACAGCTTCAACGTGCCTGTCAGCTCCCTTTTGTTTACCCTTATCATTTTGCAGGAGAAATCCACCAACGGTCAATTTGGGGAAAGGATTTTGCTCCTATGTATATACACTGCTAGTTGAACTTGAAAGCCAAGCCAATTATAAAAGTGCTCCATGTCCTTGCGCCGTTCCATGCGCGTTCTCACTAAAAATATGCTTACATGGTTCCATTTACAGTCTGCACTAGCTTCTACCAACATCAGGTTTGGAAGGGAACTTCTGTCTAAATTCGCCGCAGCCCCGAGCCCCGGGAAGCGGCGCTCGCTTATCCCGCCAATGCCATCAACTCGCAGAGGCACCCATCTCTTAGAGGCTCTGTGTCGCTCCAGCACTTGGGCTCTTCGCAGTAGCAGGGTTTCGGGGCCAGGCCCGTGACCGGATCCTGACATGGCTCAAGGTTCCTCATGTTGAATTTGAGAGGCACGGGCAGATATGCTCCGTGGGCCCCCAACCACCTGTTTGGAAGCCACGCATAAACCCAATAATTTTATTGGCAGAACCCATGCTCATCACCTTCATTCACAGACACCCCTCATCCTCTCTCATAGTTATCCGCCAATTTCTCCGAAATGAGCCTATATTTTGTTGACCTGCATGTATATACATAAGGTTGCGAACAGATGAAGGAGATTAAAGGGGCCTGTAGAGGGAGGTAGGAACTCCAGGACTCTTGCATGGCCATGTATGCGAAACAAGCCAGAACTAAACAGCCAATGCCCTAGCACTACAAATATTCTCTTTCATGCTGTGTCACTGTGTCCTGATTGAGCCTTAAAGTTGTTGGAGGCATCGGGAAGACCAGTTGTTTTGGGGCGAGTTCCAGAAGAAATTCAGCAGATTCTGGAGTCGTGCGTTTAATTGCCACGACCGCTAGGCGCAATCCACTAAACATGCGGGCACTCTGGCGCGAGGGGTCCCGCTAAATGAACCACGGTTTTGACAACGTACATTTCCCAGCATTGAATCACTGCCCTGTTGACTCGGAATCATGCCTGATTTGACCAGCCTTGTTTTCTTTCCCTGTTGTTAGTCAAGCAGGATACATACATACATTACATTACATTACATTACATTACATTACATTACATACATACATACATACATTACATACATACATACATACATACATACAGACAGACAGACAGACAGACATTACATACATACATAC